ACAGTGCCAACTTAGCACAGCTTCTGACTGAATGCAGTATAGAAAAATATGTTCTCCTGCCTTTATTTTTTATAGTCAGTCAATAAATTTTTTGAGGTGAAATGATTAAGCAAACTGTTCCTTACATCACTGAACTTTTTTAATAATTTGTGTATACGGTACAATTTTCGCTGAAGAATAAAAAAAAAAAAAGCAGAATGCACACCGATGGGGAAAAAGGCACAAGCCGACATACAAAAACTGCCAGCCTTATGAATTTTTATTGAAGCTAGCAATGCAACTCATCTGTATCAAATATATTATAAAAAGAATAGGCACGCCTTCAAATTGCCTAAGAGTATTCTTATGCTAACTGTAACCCGACTCAATGTGCAGCCGTCAGACAACACCCGAAATCATGTGACATGTTATGTCACGCTTCTCTTTATATAGCACTAACCCAACTGCAATAAAGTTGTTGTTAACCCGACGGAAGGCCTTGCTACACTAACTAATGTGGCTCTTCATCAAGGATGCTGCAAAATTGCATGAGGCAAAGACAGCTACCTCACATGAGAATTCAACAAGTAACTTGTACAACACTTTCATCTGCTGAATCAGTGACTAGTTGCTCCACTTCTGTGCACAAGATGAGTATGGTGTTTTGTTTTTTTTATAGTAACGCTGTTGAACAGTAATGAATATGATAGTTGCAAAGCAACAAATGCTTTGCATGCTGTCACGGCTGTCAGGATAAGTGGCCACTGATGCATGTGACTATGCCTACGATTAAAAAATAAGCCTATCGAGCTATGGTGCTATTATGGCTTTCCTTGTGTAAAATGATCCCCTCTGATTGCCAAAAACATGTGAGGCTTCAAGTTCCTATCATATGAGTAGAGCTCTTTTGTCTAGACAAAATAGCAGACAGGGCAATTCTGACACCATCAACCATATTTATATTAAACACTTATTTAGATATGGTCATTCATCAATGTAGTAGCTAACACGACTGTTATAAGACCACGTGGTGTTGTAGTATCTTTAAATAAGCATGTGCAAAGATTCAAAGCTTTCAATATTTGATGGTCTTAATTGCTGTAGTCATAGTTTGAGAGTTTGGAATTGAAAGCTTAGTGTGTGGTTGTCTGCGGCCAAATAGTACTTAATTAGAATTATGTTAGTGTGCACAGTAACAAAAAAGATACTGTAAGGTTCCCTCATGTGTGTTCATAATCTATCCCTACAGGTAACTGTACTGAGCCTATACTCAGAGGTGCCAGTTTTGAGGATAATGCTCAGAATAGCACGTTTTTCCTTTTCACAATATCGACACGAGCATGTAGTGGGTCTCTGGCTGTTGCGTGGCTAGTGTCATCATTACTTGTGCGTGTCGAAGGATTTGGTCAGCAGAAAAGACGACGACGAACTCGCGCTGCTCGATCGAAGCTGTTCCACTGTTTGCTACTCTGTAACTTGCACTGATTTTATTACCGTGACAAACTGGTGGACGTGCTGGGTACAATCCCAATTCGCTCGTTTTAACTCCAGCCGCTTCAAGCTTCTGCCACCATTTTAACAATTCCGGAGGAAAACCTGGCACTTCACCTCAGCCGCCGCTTGCTAGGACTTCCGGAGGTTTTCTGACGGACACAATTTTGTCCGGTCTCAAGTGGCAATCGTGTCTTGTCTATTTAGATGACATCGTCGTTTTTTCATCGAATTTCGAGCAGCACCTTCAGCGCCTTCGTGCAGTACTTGTCGCGCTACGGAAAGCTGGCCTGTCGCTAAAGCCCGAAAAATGCCACTTCACCTACGAGAAGCTCAAGTTTCTCGGCCATGTCGTCAACAGTGACGGAATTTGCCCAGATCCCGTGAAAACACTGGCTGTCGCTGCCTTCCCAACTCCGAAAAATAAACACGACGTACGCCGTTTTCTGGGCCTTTGTGCGTACTATCATCGCTTTGTTCCGAACTTTTCCAAAATAGAAGAACCCTTAAACCAACTCACGAAAAACAACGTTGCTTTTGTGTGAGCCCCAGAACAACACGAAGTTTTTTGCGAGATACGATGACGCTTCGAGACTCCTCCAATCTTGGGTCATTACGACGAAAATGCCGACACTGAAGTGCATACAGATGCAAGTAATGTCAGCCTCAGAGCTGTCCTTGTGCAATGGCAGGAAGGTATCAAGCAAGTGATCGCCTACGCTAGTCGTACGTTATCATCGGCTGAAATGGACTATTCCACCACAGAAAAGGAATGCCTAGCTGTCGTGTGGGCCATAGCCAAGTTCCGGCCGTATTTGTACGGGCGACCATTCAAAGTAGTCACCGACGACCATTTCTTGTGCTGGCTTGCAGGCCTCAAAGACCCCTCAGGCCGCTTAGCCCGATGGAGTCTCCACTTTCCGAAATTTGACGTTACTGTGGTTTACAAGTCAGGACGCAAGCAAACCGATGCTGACTGCCTATCACATGCCCCAGTCAAGTCGATTCCTCCTGACCAAACTGACGACGAAAGTTTCCTCATGGCCGTCATAGCCTCCGACTTGGCTCAAAAACAAAGTGATGACACAGAACTTCGCCCGATCATCAACTACCTCGAGGACAAGCTTGAACAGCCACCACGAACATTCAGGCGCACAATTTCATCATTTTTCCTTCGTGACAACGTCTTGTACAAGCGGATCTTTGATCCCAACCTGTGATGTGAGACGACATCCTTAAGGCGTGCCATGACGAACCATCTTCCGGACATTTAGGGTTCACGCGTACTCTGGCACGTATCCGCCACACGTACTACTGGCCCAAACTGTCCCGTACGGTCAAGCCCTACGTGAAAATCTGCCGAGACTGCCAGCGTTGCAAAACTCCGCCCATGAAACTTGCTGGTCTTTTACACCCTGTGGAGCCACCCTGAGAACCATTTCAACAAGTTGGCATGGACTTGCTAGGTCCATTTCCGAAATCTTCAGCGGGGAATCGCTGGATAGTAGTTGCGACTGACTATTTAACCCGTTATTGTGAAACACGAGCACTCCAGCACGGTACGGCAAGCGATGTCGCGGATTTCTTCATTCAAGCTGTCGTCCTCTGCCATGGTGCACCGGCCGTGGTTCTAACAGACAGAGGCACGGCCTTCATTGCCCAACTACTGGAAGAAGTGATGACACTCAGCGGCACCGTACATCGCCGAACGACAGCTTACGATCCACAAGCTAACGGATTAACAGAACGGCTCAATAAGACCATCACAGATATGATTTCCACGTATGTCGACGTAGACCATAGGAACTGGGACAGTGTCCTCCCTTTCGTAACTTTCGCATATATAACACCGCCGTGCAAGAAACTACAGGATTGACACCTTTCCGCCTGCTTAATGGCCGCGAAGTTACTACGATCTTAGACGCCATGCTATTACCTGACGCATTCACGATCACCACCGAAAATGCTGACCAGTATGCGCAGCGCGCCAAAGAAGCTCGACAACTAGCTCGCTTGCGCATTCGTTCTCAGCAACAACACAATTCTCATAGGTACAACCTTTGGCACAGAGAAGTCACCTACCACCCCAGAGAAAAAGTATGGCTCTGGAGTCCCGTACGCCAACGCAGCCACTCTGAGAAGCTCTTGCGTCGTTATTTCGGCCCTTACCGGGTTTTTCAGCGCGTCAGCGATGTAAACTACAAAGTTATCGCAGAGCCCAGCGCGCAGCCCTCCCGTCGTGGTGCCCAGCGGGACATCGTCCACGTGGCTAGGATGAAGCTGTATTACTCACGCTGAAGACTTGCTCTTGCCTTCATACACTTGAAAGCATCGGGTCGATGCTTTTCGAGAGGGGGAGTAATGACACGAGCATGTAGTGGGTTTCTGGCTGTTGCGTGGCTAGTGTCATCATTACTTGTGCGTGTCGAAGGATTTGGTTGGCAGAAAAAATGACGGCGAACTCGCGCTGCTCGATCGAAGCTGTTCTGCTGTTTGCTACACTGTTACTTGCACTGATTTTATTACCGTGACAATATCATCTTGTTACCAAATGTACAGCTACTAACTTAAAGCTGTTTCATCTTTTTGCTGCTTGCCAATTGTTATGCAATTATAGTTACACAATTAGAGGGAGGAGCAGGAAGAATAAACTTTATTATAAAAAACCAGGAGGTTTAGCTGGCCGGGCCTAGGCCTCCCATGAGGGGACATCAAGTGCTTGCTTCGACGCCACTTCACGGGCCTGTCGGTCGCCCAGGTTTGGTCGTCAAAAGTGGGGCTCCGCAGAAGCCTTATGGAGCACAATTATAACATCTGTTTTTTTTTTCTGTAAATATTATGACGGAACATATCTTACAACACATATATTCTGAATTGTTCTATGAATACAACATATTTATCTAAATTTTGTTTTTTGACATATCAGCCACCATGTTGATCATGAACACATGATCCACATTTCATTGTGTAGCACACTCTTAAGATGCTGCCGTCCAAAAAGCACTGATGACACACAAGACGATTATGCGTTCATAGACATTGATGAAGAGTTGAGTAGTGAGAATGAAATAATATAAGTATGTGAATTTTTACTGGATTTTTGCTTGCCATCTCCTTTTTTGCACCCTTGGTTATGATTGTTTTAGAGCTTGCTTTTTGAGCTCTCATATCAAGTTTTGAATTCACATTATAGTCATAATACTATTTTTTTTTTCTTTTTAGAGATGTAAACTCCCCCTTTGTATTATATTCTGTGTAGGTACGGTAACTTGGGCAACCTATTCTTAAGAGAAGTTCACTGTGTTTGTACTGCAGGTGGTGTTTCTTTTTTTTTTCTTATGAAAAATCAAGTGTTATATTCAATTTAAATAAAATGTTGATGTAATACACACATTCAATTGAAAAAATTACACTATTCAAACACACCCACAATTCAGGCATAGAAACTGCAACTTAAGCTTTTGGTGACATGCGTTGAACTGTACATGCATTTGAATGACATTTCAGGCTCCATCTTCACACACATCTACTAAGAATGGATGTTTTGTATTTATTACTCACAGCAAACAGCACAGGGCACAAAGTGCAAGGATAAGAGAGTGAGACACTATGTATGCACTAACAATAAGTGTATCTGGATAGCTAACAGAAATCAGAAATGTACATATTCACAAAGAAGTTCTATAATTTTTTTCAGCCATGCTGTAGCACCCTGACAGCACTGAGCACTGCCCTGCATGTCCTATAGCACAGATTCGCTCTAACCTCAGTGGTGTTGCTGAAACTGGCATGAGTGCTGAAAGGGGCAGTAATGGATTGTTTCTGAGCACTCGTTTGCCCATTGGAAAGCACATTTACTTTCACAGCAGCATCACAAGGCATGTGATTTAAAACACAGCAATGAAATCTGCTGGTATGTACATGCAATATTATATTGCTGCACTTGAGCTTCTTGCCTTGGAAACTGGTGCACACATTAGGCAACTTCCAAGTGCACTTAGTGTGGCTGGCCATCAATTACTGCCTCGTCCCATGGGCCATGGATACTCCTGCATAGAAAACAGCACCAGCTATGTCCATGCCCAAAGGCAACAAGGTCTACTGCATACAATCCCAGGAGTGCCACTAAAGAAATTATTACTGATTCCAAAACTATAGTGCCTTCTCTCTAAACTTTATTTGATAAGCTGCATGTTTCCCAAAACTACTTTTTTTTTTTTTTTTTTAATCAATCAATGAAGCTTTATTTTCATAAATAGATATATGCAATTACAGGGATTATTTGGACCGATAGCCTAAAGTGGCTAGTGGACGGTCCAATACAATGTGCAACATAAAAAAGTGTACAGGTCAGCTCTGAGGTAACAACATAAAAAAAACAATCATGTGATACAGATAACACAGTAATACATTTTTTCTTGCAGATATGCATACTTATTAGCTTGCAGCTAGTTTCTATACATAGGCACTTATTAAAAAATACAATGAAAATCGAATCACACACACATGCTTACATGTCTTGACTCCACAGAAAAAATGATTTACATGCCATGCTGAAATTACGTGCCGTTTTAATCTCTAGGGGGACCGTGTTCCATATTTTTGTTCCACTAAACTGTATCAGTCTTTCTCCGTAAACATTAAAACATTTGGGCAGATTGAAATTACCATTCGAAGCATGTCGCGTATTGCGTTTAGGAATTGAAAAAAGATCAGCAGGCAAAGGTGAATTTCTATTAATTATGTTATTTACTGAAACAGCAATTTTGTAGTCACGCAACATCGGAACTGAGAGAATGCGTTGTGATTGGAAAATATTACTTACTGATTCACCTTGGCTTATGATTTTCAGTGTACGCTTTTGAAGTCGCTCAAGAGTTTTTAGATAACTGTTGTACGTCACACCCCACGATTCCAGACAGTAACCTATGTGACAATGACACAATGAAAAGTAGAGTGTGCGGAGAATAGCTTGTGGAAAATATTGGCGAGCTTTTATTAGAGAATAGCAGCCATAGGCTAGCTTTGCGCACACACTTTGTACTTGCTCATGCCAGTGTAAGTGTTCATCAAAAGTGACGCCTAAATATTTAAAACAAGGAACTTGTTGAATAGGAGTGTTGTTTATTGTTAGGTTAAGAGATTCAGCGTCAATATGTTTCCTACGAGAGTGAAACACCATATACTTTGTTTTAGTACAGTTAACAGTCAGCTGATTCCTGGCAAACCATTCCGAAATGTTCGATAAATCGGTCATCGCGTCATTTTGTAAATCTGCTAAGGAGTGTCCTGTGAAAACTAAAACAGTGTCGTCCGCGTACATCAGTGCCCTTGACCTTTGTAGGGATCGCGGGACATCATTAATATAAAGAGAGAACAATATAGGGCCCAAAACTGAACCCTGTGGCACCCCGCATTTAATATAACCGTAGGATGATTTGATGTCACCAATGACTACCTTTTGTTTGCGTGCCGATAGATAACTAGAAAAAAAATCAAGCGAGTTACCTTTTATCCCATAAGAATGCATTTTTTCCAGTAAAATGGAATGACTAATAGCATCAAATGCCTTTCGTATGTCTAAAAATACTGCTATTGCTATGTTGTTTTCATGTAGCGCGGAATTAATATATTGCGTAAGCATCGAAACAGCAGTTGAAGTGGACCTGTTTGCAACAAAGCCGTGTTGCTGGGGACAAAGTACATTCTGTTCACCCAGGAAGCGCCTTAATTGCGACGATATTAGTTTTTCAAGCGTAGTGTTAATACTACTCAGAACAAATATTGGTCTGTAGCTGTCCGGAAGATTCCGATCACCAGATTTGTACACTGGTATTACTTTGGCGGTCTTAAGTATACTAGGATAAGTTTTAGAGGAAAATGCATGATTAAATATATGGCATAAGGGACCACACAATACATCAATATTCTCCTTTAAAATCCTTGATGATATGGCGTCATGTCCAGCTGCCTTGTTCCCTGGTAACTTATTAATTACTTGTCGGATGTCATCCTCAGTTACATCACATAAATCAAAATTATTGGTAACAGTACAGGGTGCATTTATCACAGCACTCGTTTAAATATGATGTCATCGCTATAACTGAAACTTGGCTTCGAGAAAGCGAATCAGTTCATTTACCCGGCTACGTCATGCTTTCGCAACCTAGAAACAGTGCTACACGAGGAGGGGGTGTGGCGCTATTTATCAAAGACTGCTTTAGTTTCGTTCACCTTAGCAATAGCTCATGCTGCAGTTCATCGGCAGAGACTCTTTTTCTTTAACATTCTGCACAGCAATAAGCAGTTCCTAAATAATATTTTGCTCAACTTGCAACTTTATTTAAAGGTCAGTGCACTGTGCCCTCCTCTATGAAACATAACACTGCATAACTTTTCCTCCATGCTCCTATGACAAGTGTGTTATCAACAGTTTTTTGTAGGCTGAATTAAGCTACGCAATTATTTTAGGTTCACTTAAATTCAGCAGGCAAATGTGGCAAAAATGTGACCAAACAAGGTTTACAAAAGAAGGAAAGTCTTACTGTCTGTACTGGTGGCAGTAAACAAAGTGCCCTGGTAAAACCAGGCCTACAGCCAGTAAAGCTAACGCCAGTGCTGCAGCCAAGGGAGGACTCAGCTGCCAGCAGCTCGACAACGCCAGTATTCCATGAATTAGTGTCAATGCCACCTGCAGCTTAGGCGAGCGGTCCTGCAGTTAGAAAGTACAAGGGCAACCCAACAAAATACACTGAAAAATCAAATGTCAATCACTTTTCTTTTTTCATGCTTTTTTGCAGTCATGAATATGACACGAGAGAATTCTTTTATCTCTGCTACACAGTCTAGAGTGCAAAAATGAGCACACTGTTTATCAGTTGTTTTATACAGCTGTAATTATTGTCTTGCAGTCTAAGTTTACTGCAACAAAAAAAAAGTAGTTACCTGTTATCCTTTTACAATAATGTCATAAACTGCTGTGCTTTGAGCACAAGCTGTCCACAAATGTTTCTTAGTAAGCCAACTGAGTTTTCTCAGCAAATTCACCATGCCGATAGAGCTAAATGATTCCCTCTCAAACCATGCAGGCAATTAACTTTTAGAAACAGGATAGTATTTATAACTGAGAATGAATAGAACGTGACTTTATTTTTCACATTTAAGCTTGTCCATTAGCACAAATCATCCTGGATATTCTAAAATAAAAAAATGTACCAACCACTGCTGAAGAAAGAGCAGCGGCCAAAACAATCTACGTGAAATCCAGATGAGTAACAGTAACATGTACAAAGATTATCAAAGGGGCGCTATGACATGGTAACCCAACAATTTGTGGTTTTCAGCAAAAAATAAAAGTAGAGGGTTTATCATGATTATACAGATATGAAAAGCAGTCCGTAAGAAAACATTTCAGAGAAAACATGCCCTAGAAGTCCCCACTCTAAACCCTGCCCACCACCAGCGACTATCATTTTGCCATGGCGTGTGAGATGAATGTGCAGCAAGGAGTGACGCCGTAGTTTCCTACCAAAGTTTAAGCAGCTGCAAATCACTCTATCAGTGATGGAAGTAACTTTTTACTTTTTGGAGCAGACTTTAGACCAAGAAAAGTGCTGCTTTAGAGCAGCCATAAGTGTTTTCGGAGCAAAAAAAAAAATGCTTGTTTAGAGCAGCTATTGGTGTTTTAGGAGTAAATATTAAATTTGCCATACATTAATTGGAGTTTAGAGCATTGTCGAAGCATCTCTTAAATATGAGTAATTCCTATGAAAAACATTTAATACACAACAATCAATGTAAGTTTCATGTAGCAAACAATGGCAGTTTGTCAATAATGTGCTGCAAAATAAGCTACAAATTAAAGTACACATATTTGCGGCAGAAATCAATTGAGACTGGAAAAGCTGAGCACCACATTTTTAGAAGTCACCACAGTCCTATATAACTATTGCCAAACAAGCAGTAACTGTAATCAGTGTGAGATAAAAGCAATCCTGCTCATTTCCACATTTCACCACACTAGCCTGCATGTCTAGTTGAGAAAAGAAAATGGCCAAATGAGCTATATGCTTAAAGAGACACTAAAGGCAAATACCACTTTATGTCAGAGTTTCTGAAAGCTCAATGTATGACAATGTCTAAAACAGCAATAATATCAACAGCAGTGCCTTAATTATCAAGAAACTAGGTAAGCTAAATATATGATACGACGTACACCATGAGTGGGACATTCGCAAAATGATGCCAATGACTTGAGTGACTGCCTACAATTAATCGCTAGTACTCAAACTAGCTGCAATAAAAAAATAACCTTCCCTGCATCAAGAGATGTAATAAAATGGTACTTGTCTGTTTGTTTGATTTATAGAAAAAAGAACTCCCTGATGTTACGATGGGAAATGGCGCAAGTAATTCAAAACATTGTGAAACCCTTAAACTTCGCCTTTGAGAGCTGAATGCGATAGCGATATTTTGTTCCTAGTGCGTATTTTAAAACCTTAGTGTATGAAATCTTTTTGAACTTCCTTTGAACCCACTATGTCGCCTAAGGGTGCAGTAATGTGTATGCCTTTTGTAGTGGGTGACTGGCTTTAAACTATGAAGTCATTATGATAATCCCATGTTCTGACGCCCAATGACAATGTAAGCTTGTATTACGCATTATTACAGCAATATTTCATGTTGCATTGTGAAGCATGTATACAGCACGCGTGTGTTTGTAAAGCATAAAAGTTACTTTCACTGCATTTTCAAGCAGTTCAGTTTTTGGCTGGTTAGGCTGGATGGATGGTGCCATCTTGCGGGCCCAGTTGAATCAAGCAAACAGAATCATGACCTCCAAGAATGCAGAAGATTGTTCAATGAATGCTGTTGTTACTATGCCTCCTACTACTTTTGCTCTGCTGCTACTGGTGTCGGCGGTCGTATAGTAAAGGCAACGTTTGGCACGGTAACAGTGACATCTAAAAGACTACTTTCAAGTGCAAGTGATTTTACATGCCCTAACGCGATGCGGACCATTAAAATGCGATTTCATCTCAAAATAACCATTTCTTTGGCACAAAACTAGCACTACGAGGTTTCTGAACTGCTAGTTCGTCAATCAACACGACTTAGTATTTACCTTTAAAGTCCCTTTAATATGCCAGTTCTTTTCGCACAAATGCGATCAAAGCCGATAATTCTGCACATTGGGATGATAGTACAGAAATAATTATAGTTTTTTTAATACTTATACGAGCCGGTCAAACAGTAAAAGTTTGTCCTCCTCCTTCTCTAGGTGCCATTTCGGAGCAGGTTTAGAGCGATTACTGACAAAAATTACTGTTTGGAGCAGCATGGAGCAGCACTTCCATCAGTGCTCTACTTCAGTGCCAAACTGAAAAAGCCTAAAATATCTCTATTTTGCGTGCAGCTGACCACGGAACAATATTGCTCGGTGAAATGCAGGCGCTCGCACAGCTAGCTGCTTGTTATGTTGCAGCTTGTGTGCATGCCAGGTCTGCTTGACTCTCATGCTGCTCACATGTTTATCAAAATATTTCATTATACTTTAAGTTTTGACCAAATGCGCAAAAATTTTGTCAGCTTGTTAAGAATGCACAAGGATAACTATACCCACATGTAATATTGCGTGTAATGGCTTCTTTAAACAGGCACTTTTAGCACCTATGTTTTCTGGTGAGCTATGTAAATCAGATAAAGAAGCACACCAAAAATACTAAACTAGGTAACTTAAAAGTAATTGAACAGAAATTTTTTACTGGGGAATTGTCATATAACGTGCAGCATTCATATCCCACGTTTTGCACCATTATGATTATGTGCCCATCAGGAAAGATGGCTAGATGTGCATTATCGTTTCAAAGATCACAGCACTTGGATACCACACTGTCTGCAGCATGGGCATGAAGTCCCTAGATTTTTCCGTTTTCCTCAAGTAATAACAGCCGCCTTCTCTCTTGGCCCTAACTCACGCGCACCAAGCGTCTACCGCCATTTCCTTCTCAACTTGGAAGATTTACAAAGCCATGATATGCGAGTACATCTGTCCATATGCCAATGCGACGGGCTTTTCTCCTCCCGTCAGCCCCCCGTCGTTAGTAAGCGGGAGAGACATTTCGCCAGGTACTCAAAAAATGTCAGGAAGAATATGGCTACTAAAAATTACTGTTAGCCAATAAGATTCGTTGATGGTGCTTCAATGCTTATCAGTACTTAACAAAGAAGAGCGAAAAATCTAGGGACTCTGCATGGGCACACTGACATAGTTGGCTGACTATGAAGATGGTGCAATATTGAACAAACAGCACTTCACCAATGAAAGACAGACCGAACAGGCTCACAAAAGCACTAACTTCGGAATGAAGAAAAGTGTAAATTTAAGGGCTCATTTTCTTTATTAGACACAATATTAATGAGAACTAACAGACAATAATGCCAGGGAAAGTATAGGCGATGCTATTACAAGTACATAATTGTAATGCAAATTTGAAGAAAGAAAAGTGGACGAAAAGCTGACGCTCCCATGTTTAAACAAACATATATGCCCTATAATGTGGATGGAGGGATGACTGCCACCATAGCTCAGTGGTAGAGCATCGGACACGTTAATCGCACGTCGCAGGTTCCAATCTTGTTGGTGGCAAGTTATCTTATCGTCCACTTCTTTCTTTCTTCACATTTACATTATAATTACTTCTGATAACATAGCCTGTACTTTTTCTGGTATTATTGTCTGTTAGTTCTAATTAACTTGGGAATGGGAACATTTCACGCTTTGTGCTCTTTATCACTCAGCAGAGATCAGAGTCCTCAAATGGCACACCTGTTGAGGTAGTCAATAACACAAAGGGTCTGTACCAAGGTTCCTCGAATTTATTTTATAAACAATTTATTCACTATCAGTTTACAATAATTTCAGACCTCTTCAAAGTATTCTAGCCCTGGTTCAATGCACCATTACAATTACTTCTATATTAACATGTCGCCAACACTTCACTCAATCATAAAGGCGCCCTGGGAAGTTGTCAATAGGAACCTCTTTCAGCGAGGTAGCTGCAAATGCTGCTACAGTCGTCAGCATCCTGTGCCCTGTTCCTTTCAGCATACTTTTGATCCTTGGGAACAAAAAGAAGGCCAATCATGCCAGATCGAGGCTGTGTGTTGCTACACCGGCATGTTACACTGCAAATGCCGTCGAAAGATGAGGGTCTTGCGTCTGGAGAGAGTGAACAAAAAGTTTACTTGATGTTTTGCGCAAGAAAATCGGTGAATAGTGTTCTGGAGAAGCTGCGTGGCTAGCAACTCAGAAATAATGAGAGCAGTGTGGCTCCTCTTTCATGTCTCTCATCAGAACCTCTGGCACCATTTTCACGCAGACTTTCTGCATTTGAAGATCTGTCGTCAAAACACGATGAAAAATTGTTATGAGTGCTTGACACTCTTCTGTGATCGTACAAACACTTAATCGTTGGTCCTTGTGCAAAACTTGACGCACTTTTTGCACTAGTTGGCTGTTAGTGATTTCGATGGGCATCTCAAGCAGTCATCGTCATTGATAGACGTTGACCTTTCCGAAACCTCTTGTGTTACATGAAAGTTTGGCTTTGTCTCATAGCATCGTTGCAGTAGGCTTTCTGAAGCATTTCGTGTCTTCCCGCCCCATTTTTACCCCAGTTACACACAAAACTGGATTTTGTAATGCTGCTCCAAAAACTGGTTCAATCGTTGTCTTCACGAAGGTGCAGTAGGTACCTCTGTGCAAACCGTAACCAACAACCGCCCCCAAGCAAATGAAACCGGACTTGTTTTGAAGCTTATATGCCCCACTAACTTCTCTACTCGAAGAGCCACCCTGCCAGACGGCACTGCCAACTAGACAAAAACTTCCAGAAACTTTGGGACAGACCCTTCATAATCCTCAAGTAAATGGCACTACAGGTTTTCACTGATGTAAAAGAAAGCATTACATGAAAGATGACAAAAATCTCGGTTAAACCAACCTCACCAATCCCCACTTTGCATTAAAATAGGTTGCACGTAAGGGTGTCCAAAGAGTGAATTTCAGAATAGAATCAAATATGAATCGAATAGTGATGACCCGAAATCGGATACAAATATGAAACTTCTCAAATAGTTCTCGAATAGTAAAGCACAAATTTCCAAAACAGATCAACACACTTTGAAGAAGAAACATTACGAATACTTTCAACCAACGAAAATTACCAAACTGCGGTGAGCTCATATTCAGTAGTGCCTAAAGCCTTCGATGTATTTTGCAACTTTGGGCTCAACTAACGCAGGGACTACAACATCCAAGGACAACATTCAAGGTAGTCATTTGTCACCAGTTTTTAAATAAAATTGACACATAAGAATTAAACAATCTTCAACTGAACATTACACAGACAACTAAATACGTAATGATATACACAAACCATAAATCGACAATGTGCCTCAGTACCAAAGGTAGGTAAACACTAGTGTTGGTTACTGTATCGGCAAGAATATTTTGATATAACTAAAATGCTTGTATATGTCATTATTCATGTAAACATGTACAAAAATTGAATTTATGAAGATGAATGCAGGAACTGACTGGTGCACGCACATGCAGCAAAGCAAGAACTTATGAGAAAAAATAATATGAGAAAATGATACACAAGCACTTATTTTGAATGAAAATGGGAAAACAAAATTAATTTAAGTATGCAACCTACATAGTGCTCCAATCTATCATCAACAAGTTCACTTCGGTGACACTGGAGTTATAAGATTGCACCATAAACCCATAAAAGTTTGGGCTGTAGGAGTCATTCAATGACTAAAATAAAAAAAAATTACCCTTCGCTGTTCCAGCATTTCATTCCTTTGGTGTAACCCCGTCAATGCTGGTCACTCGTAAAATGTAGGAAAAGTATTTGGCATTTTAAAAATATTGTATCCAATTCAAGTACTACATTGAATTGAATGTAACTCATTCACTATTCGAAATTTTCAAATATTTGTACACCCTTAGTTTAAAAAAATGAATAGAAAGACTAAGGAAAAAAAAAAACGTGATACTTGGCAAGGCCGTGGAACCTTAGGGTACAGATGCCCATAGAATTCAGTAATAAGGTTACTACTTGGGCCTGTTGGTGTGCCACTGGTATGTGTAACAATGTGCATGATGAAAGACATTGACAAGTGTAACGCATATGGAAACACACAAACAGCAAAACTGAGCCATGTGTTTCTGCTACTCCTATTTGCACCTTTTATGTGCAGTGTTACATGTCCTCTAGAGCACTTCGCATTAAAGCAATAAGCCCAGGATTTCATCACCTGAAGACGAGCCAAAGATCTGCCACTGCAGTATTGCTTCAACTAATAAAGGAGCCGCTACATTATAAAAATTCTGTTCCTTCAGACAAAAGCAAGTAGAAGAGGCTTTTTAAGTTCATTTCAATTCGCTGTGGTCACGAAGTGTTGTTCTCGTTTTTTATATTTTTATTTTTATTCTTTTTTGTGATTACCACAGTTGTGCCATTTAGGAAAATGAACAATGGCCTCATTAAGGCTCGCCATGCACAGCAATGCTGACATTTAGAGCTGTTACGACACAAGAAATTCGAACTTTTTTTAATAAAACCTCCCCAAACTAATAAATCTTCAAAGACTATGGTTGTTCCATCTAGACACTTGCAAGATATTACCTTTGTGCAAGCAATCAGATGTATCTAAAGACCTTTGAGAGCATCTTTACAGGGCTTACCTGCACCCAGGAGGCCAACAAAGGAGCCAGCAGAAAAAGGGCAACTGCCAGGGACGAGAGGGCAAGCACAGGGCCACTACCAGTGAGCCGTGAGGCAAGGCACACCGCACCAAAGAGGGCACCATTTAGCGATATAGCAGCCCATGGTCCACTGTACCAAGAAAACAACAGTTTTAATAAAGTGTGCAACTAAGTGAAAAAGCACAATTTCAATATAATTCATCACAAACATCAACATTTCAAGCAGTATCAGTATCTGCACCAGAGCATTTAGTTTTGCACCACTTCACTAGCACTAGCTCCTGCCATGTAGAGGCATTTCATGGCAGTTATGAATGGTGTGGTCAATGATTTAGATGCTTACAGCCAAATGACTTGCAAAAGAGAGCTTGTTGTTTGCATTATACAAGCATCATTACAACAGCCTCTTATCCTTTTCTGTTCTTCCTATGAAATAAAGTCACTCCACGTTCCTCAGCTGCCCCAATTCAAATGCTTCTTCCTGTTCCTGTCAATAAAAAGGCATTACCATGCCTGGCAGAATCCTATCTACGAACTCACCATGCCGCTTCCATCGTGCTTGCTTGGGTGCTTCAGTTGTAAGTGTTGATGAATCGAGAGACAAGAGCAGAGCATCAACACTTACAACCTTCAGTTGTAAGTGTTGATGCTCTGTTCTTGTCTCTCAATTCCTCGCTCAGGCATAACAAACTAAACATAGGATCTGATAAGCAGGCATTGTTTTTTTGTTTCTTTTATTAAGGCAGCCAAAGTGATTTAGGCACACTTTTCTGTTTGCCCCTTCATCTACCAACTTGCTCATATTTAAATTTGATGCCTTGATGCTAGTCAGTTTCTACGAATTTGAACATGTCCCATGCTACATCACTCTCAGTTAGAAAATGTTTTTTAAAGTACATACTATGATCTTGCCATACTGCCACAGAAGTCTTTTTTAAAATTTTTAAACAATTCTTAGCTCTACCAAAAAGTATTACTGGCTTGTATGGTAAAAGTTGAGTTCTCGATAGAACTTTTTTGCCCAACGTTGGAAGGATATTATAAATATGGTGAAGATGTGAGATGGAACTTAAGCTTGTAATATGTTACACTGACAAGAGCACGCTGTGTACTGCGAAACTTTCAATGCCGTGTGAGCATGTTACAGGCAGTGGTGTAACAACTCTTTGACGAGTGGGGGGACAAGCTCACCTAATTCAGTCCCGGAATATATATATATATATATATATATATATATATATATATATATATATATATATATATATATATATATATATTGTGAGCATTATTTATGCGTCCCATCTTTTCATCTGTACATACTCATCATCACCAGTCAAGTTTAGGTTGTGGGGCACATACTCGAGTCAATAAAGGAGAGTCTTGAGTGTACTCGACGCCATCTTACAAGTGGTGGAGAGTGCTGCCCGGTTCCTGCGTCCTCGGACACTCCAGCGTCTTCTAGAACACATCCTTGGAGCTCCATTCAGGCCGCCGCTTAAACGACCTGGGTCCGGTAGTGTCGCAAGCTGCCCAGCCTAGCGTGCCAGCTTCACACCGCTCCCACCGCCAAGAAACCCTTCTCACCTGGTCACCAGCCCTCAAAAGGATCCTCCACTGTTCGCAGGGCTTCCGGGTGAAGACGTTGAAGACTGGCTCGAGGAGTATGACCGCGTGAGTGTTATCAACAACTGGGATGAGCCTGCAAAACTCACCCACGTTGCATTCTACTTGAGCGGCGTCGCAAAAACGTGGTTTTTCAACCACGCCACAGATTTTCCGACATGGCCCGCCTTTACACGTCTGCTCCGACAGATTTTTGTCAACCCGTCAGAGCGCTCGGATATCGCCAAAAAGAGGCTTGGTGCACGTGTTCGACGCCCTGGCGAGCCTTAGACTTCTTACATCGAAGATGTTCTCGCGCTTTGCCGCCGCATCGACAACTATATGGCGGAAAACGACCATGTGCGCCACCTGCTAAAAGGAATTGCGACTGTCGCTTTTAATGCGCTTGTGGTGTGAAATCCCCAAACTGTAGCCGATGTTGTCGCTACCTGTCAGCGCCTTGAGGAGCTTCAGACCACTCGGGTACAACCTGATATGTCTGATCTGAGCTCAAGTCATGATACAACAGAGCTGCGTGCATTGATTCGCTCTATCATCCGTGAGGAACTGCATGCACAGGCTTCACCTCGATATCCAAACGACGCCACCCGCTACTAGTTTACGCGACGTCGTGAGAGAGAAACTGGCCTTGTTGACTGGTACACCAGTTCCGAATTCACATCCCATGCCCACTCCAAGTTATGCTCACGTTGCTACAACGACACCTACGCCCCACCAAAGCCTAGCCTCGATGACTGTCACACCTGTCCCTAGCTTATATCCTGTGGCCATGCCAACGTATGCTCAGGTTGCTGCTAGGACACCTGCACCCCAGCAAAGTCCAATGCAGCTACTAGCGCCCGAAGAGCATGGTTCGCTCAACTCACTCGCACCACGACCATCTTCCCAGCCTTACAATGCCTGGCACAGTCCGCGGCCGACTTGCTTATATTGCGGCATTCGTGGTCATATTTCAAGGTTTTGCCGACGCCGTCAGCAAGACTAATGACGAAGCTACGATAACCTTGAGTGGGACGACTTTTACGCCACTGAACCACCCTATCGCCGGCTGCATCCGAACAGCACACGTCGGTCGCTGTCTCCGCAGAACTTTGTCCCAGTTGGCAGTTCCCGGTTCTCACGTCGTCGCTCACCTTCACCGATGCGGCGTTCCTCTTCTCCTCTTCGACCTTCTAATTCAATTCTCGACCGCCAAGTGGAAAACTGAACAGTGCAGCTTCGGGAGGGAAAGCTGCATCTTTCGAACTGCGTCAAACTCCTCCGGACCGCCCATCGAATGTTTTATTGGTATATGTTGAAGGTATACAGACAGAGGCACTGGTGGACACAGGCGCATCACTTTCCCTAATTCGTGCAGACTTTTGTGCCTGCTTGAAAAAAGTTAGGACGCCCTACGATGGTCCTCCCCTTCGTTGCGCAGATGGAGTCCCTATTCAGCCTTCAAGTGTTTGCACAGTCCGCGTTTTCATAGATGGCATTCTTCACCACATTCAGTTTCTTGTACTTCCTTTGTGCACTCACTCAGTAATTTTAGGATGGGACTTCCTTTCTTCGGCATCAGCTTTCATATTGTGTCATCAGCGAGTCGTTCAAATGTCAGCTACTGAGAGTTCATCCGATGTCGATCCATACAGCTTCCGTTTCGTTGCTGCCAATGATTGTTTCATTTTGCCAGGAGATGAACAACTTCTAACGATCGCTTCGGATACTATAGTTAACGGTGACGTGCTCATAGCTCCATCAGTTCGCTCCAAACCTGCGGGGCTTACCATAGCACCCGGCCTTGTGCGGTTCAACGACGGTAAAGCATTGGTCACCGCCTTGAACCCAACTTCTTCGCCAGTGATGCTGCCCGAGGGCACTGCTGTGAGCTGCTTCGCTGACAGTGAGCCCTTTTCGCTGGTTCCCCTTCACGCAGAATCACCGCCGTTGTCTGCTACAACTGATATCAAGGCTACCACTGTTACCTTAAATGACACCATAAGTCCTCACCTCACTGCCGAGCAAAAGAGAGACCTCTTAGACCTTCTCCAAAAGTACAGCCTTTCGTTTGATGTATATTGCAAAGTTCTGGGCCGCACCTCCGTTGCAGAGCACAGCATCGAAACCGAAGGCAGCACCACTGTACGCCACCACCCATACCGTCTGTCTTTGGCGGAACGGCAAATCATTGAGGAAAACGTCGCCGACATGCTCAAACGGGATATTATTCGATCTTCATCCAGCTCCTGGTCGTCTCCTGAGGTGTTGGTTCGGAAAAAGAACGGCTCTGTCCGCTTTTGTGTTGATTACAGAGCGCTCAACAAGATCACAAAAAAAGACGTATAGCCGTTGCCACGTATAGATGATGCCCTGGACTCCCTACAAGGCGCAGAATAATTCTCCAGCCTCGACCTCCGATCCGGGTATTGGCAAATACCTATGCGCGAAGCAGACAAAGAGAAAACAGCGTTTGCGACGCCTGACGGGCTTTACGAATTTAACGTCATGCCTTTTGGCTTATGCAACGCTCCAGCAACATTCGAGCGCATGATAGATACTGTCTTACGTGGTCTCAAATCGAAAACCCGTTTATGTTATTTAGACGACATCGTCATTTATTCTTCTACTTTTCCTCAGCACCTTAAGCGTTTGGACGAAGTTCTAACGTGCATTTCGAACGCTGGCCTACAACTCAATACAAAAAAGTGCCACTTCGCCAGCAGAAGCATCAAAGTATTGGGTCACCTTGTCAGCAAAGACGGCGTTCGACCCGACCCCGACAAGGTTACTTCCGTAATTAGTTTTCCACGTCCTCGCAATCAAAAACCATTGCGAAGTTTCGTGGGCCTGGCGTATTACTTCCGCCGCTTCATCCGTCACTTTGCTGCCATTGTGAGGCCGTTACACAAGCTTCTGACGTCAGGAACGGATTTCACGTGAACTGACGAGTGCGAGTGTGCTTTCCAAGCCCTTAAGCGTGCTTTGAAATTAGACCCCGTCCTCCGTCACTTCGATGAGAGTGCACCCACTTTCTTGCACACAGATGCCAGCGGCCACGGAATCGGTGCTGTCCTCCTCCAGCGCGACACTTCATGTGAGAGAGTAGTTGCGTATGCCAGCCGTGCACTAACACCTGCGGAGCAGAACTACTCGATAACAGAGCAGGAATGACTCGCTGTCGTTTGGGCCATTCAGAAATTTCGACCTTATCTGCATCCAGAAATTTCGACCTTATCTGTATGGGCGCCACTTCACTGTGGTTACCGACCACCATGCCCAATGCTGGTTGTCCTCGCTGAAGAATTTGTCAGGCCGCCTCGGTCGCTGAATACTGCGTTTGCAAGAGTACACTTTTGACGTTGTGTACAGGTCCGGCAAACAGCATCAGGATGCTGACGCTCTCTCTCGCTGCCCTCTGCCACTTTCATCTCCAACCACGCATTCTCAATGCCCCTCAGGTGATCAAGCGCCTTCCTCTTCACTCACGTTATCACCCCTGGCAGTTGCTGGGTCACTATCTTTAAA